TGTAGCTGGTCACATACAAATTAAATAGGTCAAGTTTACTACAGTCTTAACTGCTGTGTGACTGCTCGCTCCCAGGGAAAAAAGGACTGGCTTGCTTCCTGTTTGCTACAAAAGGTACTAAGCTCTTGGCCCCTGGGTTCCTCAGCTGCAGTGCACTCCACTGTGCACTGCCACCATCTCTGCCCATCATTTCACCCTGTGGGACTTAGGGGCAGGGAACCAGTACTACCATAGTGATGTTCCTGCTGACTGCTGTGCTTCCAGTAATAACTGCCTTCCTCTGATCTACTGAATCCTGTTGTCTACTTCTGGCACCTTGGATATTCTGTGGCAGTTGATTCTTTGCCATTCTCTATGATGTTGGGGGGTAATTCTCTGACAGTTCATAAGAGATCTTTAAAAGGCTCCTTTTATAACTTCTAACACTACTGTGGAGTAATTTTTAAAAAACTATCAATCTAGTTAAATCTGTCCATCTCTCTTTTTTTTAATATTGTACATCTCCATTTTCAGATTTTTAAAATTTTTTTATTAGTTGCAGGAGTACAAAACAATGTAAGTTAGACATTTCACCTCCCAAAGTGATAGCCCCTCTCCCCAAATCTACTGCCTCTCTGACATCGTATATATCTATTACAATTCCATTGACTCTATTCCCTATGCTGTACTTCATATCCTGTGACTATATATATATTAAATTATAGTTGACATACAATATTATTCAGCTTCAGCTTAAGGTGTACAGCCCAGTGGTCAGGCATCTACACCATCTTTTTTTTCTAACTATTCTATCAGATGCCTCTATAAGTAACCAAAGTTCACTATGATTGAAGTCCTCTGAAAATGTGTTTTCCCAGTGGAATTCTATTGATCAACATAAAGCAACTGAGAGAATGACTTACAGTCATTTGTAATGATGTATATATTCTGAAAAAAAATGCCTTGCCTTCTAATTAAGCAAAAATATACCTTATAATCCAATTAATTTGATAATATATCAATAGTTGAAATACTTTTAACTATGTATTTATTATAAACTACAGAATGCCAATAGACAGAACACTAGCTATTAGTGCTACTGTCTTATTACATATTCACAAAGAAATATATACTGCTTGTTGCTTTCAAAATTTTAAATCCTGGGGGACGGCCTAGGGGCGCGTTGGTTAAGAACTGGCTTGGGACGCCAGCTCTGAGCAGCAGGGTCCCAATTCGGATCCCGCATGAGGGCCAGTGACACTGCCCTCTACAGTTAAGATGGTGAGCAGCAGCTTGACCTGGAGCTGGGCTGCCATGAGTCGCCAGTGACGGCATAGGCTGCAGCCCCCGCTGCAGTGGGCTGCCATAAGCTACCATGTGTGGCCGACAG